CACGGTGCTGGCCGTGAGAGCTGGGCTCCCCGCTCAGCCATCTCTCAGGTGCCAGAGCACACAGCAGCCGGCCTGATGGCGCTGACTCGGGAGGCGCCTGTGGGCCAGCGCCGGCCTCTGCTTGCTGGGCGGTGTCCTCCCAGGGCTCTCCCCAGGTGGGCGAGGGAGGAAGATGGGCACCACCAAGACAGTTTCCTGCCTGCTGGCTCTGCTGGGCGGTAGCGGTTGTCCTCAAACGCAGGGACGATGGTGGGTGCGATCAGCACAGCCTGGGCAGGGAAGGGGCAGGGCCGAGCCAGGGGCCGTGGAGGTCGGAGGCTGTTCACCCACCGCAGTGTCCGTACGCATGTACATTGGTAAAGAGCAGGTCAGTGGTCAGCTTGTGTACACACATGCAGCGGACCCTCGAGTCCTGACCACCGAGGTCTTGAGTTAGGACCCGAATGCCAGCCACTTGTGCTTCCGGATGGTCTCAGATACAGATCTAACCCTTAGAGTTCTGGAAGGAACGTGACAACGTCCTTTCCCGTGTGGGGCTGAGAAACCCTGGGCTGAGATCTGGCTGGAAGAAAGTGGCCTGAAATTATATAGCAGAGAGGCTTTGAAGGCTGTAGAGGGGCCTGAGCCTTCATGACCAACTGGAGTAACAACCAGCCCTCAGGACTGAGTCGTGAGTCGGGCCCACTGTACGTGTGCACACGCATAGCCTGTGCCCTAGACAGGGTCCGTGTGTCTGGCGCTCAGGGAGAGAGCGGATGGCGTGGCACGTGTAGTGTGGGCGCCAGAAGCGCACGGTGAAACGCCACATGGATGCACTCAGCTGGCGCCATGTTCTGTCCCTGTCCCTGGCCCGTCTTGTCCGCAGCGTGGGGGCCGCTGACGTATGGACCATCCAGGGCCTTTGCCCTGTGCCCTCTGTCAGTGTCCAGTTTGGGGTCGGGGCGAGCTTACTGAAGGCCCAGTGACAGGCAGGTGCAGTGGAACCAACAGGACATGTCGGAGGGTGCAGGGAGGTAGGGTCCCCTGGGCCAGCAGTGCCAGTCAGTGGCTCGGCCCTGGCGGTCTGTGCAGAGTTCATCAGGATTTCACGCTCCTTGCCTTCATCCGCAGGACTAAAGCTGGGTGGGGCTCAGCCCTTGTGCTGCCCGGTTTTCCGGGACACATTGTGCCCCGGCACCTGTGGTCTCTGTCACAAGGCTGACAGGAAGCCTCTTCTCCCAGTGGCCTCAGCGAGGAGTTCTGTCCGTCACTGGCGGGAGCCTGGCAGCACCCGAAGGCTTCAGAGGCGCACTCATCCATGTTGAAAGGGTGCCCGCTGAAGTTTTCACACGGTCACCCCTTCTGCCTTCCCACTCGGGTGACAGCCCCGGGGCTCCTGTCTCTTCCCTCCGTAGTCGTCCTCGTGCAGCAACGCCCGTGGAGGGACAGAGGCCGGGGCATCCGACCGGAGTCCCGCCGTGGGGAGCGGGCCGAGCTTCCCGATGCCAGCCTGGGAGTTTGCCAGGGGCTCGGTGAGGCCTGGTCGCCTCCACGCGGCAGCACCCTCGGTTCTGAGTGAGAGCTGAGGGGCGAAGGGAGGTCGCCCGCCCAGGCCACGGCACGGTGCCGTCTGCCCGCTCAGCTCGCCCCACTGTGTTTCAGAGCCCCCCGACCACGAGCCTGCCGTGTCTCCGCT